TAAGAGCCTAAATTGAATAACTAAACAGCAGTTTATAGTTTATAAATCATCCTTAGCGAGTTAAACAGGTCATCATGTGATAAGATAAAGTTCTACAAAACGTGTTTCTCCAAAACAGTAATATACTCTTTAAATAGACACGAATGAAAAATAAAACTAATTTTCTCTTTCCAATGCATACAAAGTCTTGTACCGAGTGTTCCAAATTCCCATTTGCGTAACCTTAATTAATTTTAACTTCATTGGACTAGTCCGCTGCATGTTGTGGTTAATCCTGTAAATTTGCGAAGTACCTACACGTTCCTACTCAAAGTCTTGTCACAAACCGAATAACGTTGTACATACATAAATTATTCCGAGTTTATCTATAAGGTAACAGGGTTCGGTACATATCCTATTGCCAGAATTATTTACCGATAGGGTTGGACGCAATTTATAATTCAGGATAATATAAGTAGGACACTACTATTCATAGTTACTTAAATATTAAACGGAACCTTTATATCTTTCATTTGGTAGCCCTTGCCAACTTTGATGTTGAAAGAAGAAACATTTGTGAAAATACGTAGGTACTTACCTATCTATGTATTCAACATAATTTATTATGTCTATCGTAGTACACATATCTTATTCTCAATGCAATGTACAAAGAGTATTTTATTTGGTAATATATTGAAAGAAATGTTTGTAACAACTAATGAAATTTGAATATAGCCTTATGGTAAACTCAAGCTTCATAAAAGAATAACAAACCGTATTCCCATTTTCAATACTTTCAGAGAAGATTCCAGCTATTAGACTTTTAGCTATATCAGAAATGTATGCGGAACAAAGTTTTAACGAGTCGCCCAGGGCTTGCGAATGTGCTGAAGTATAAATCGAGTATCGACAAATCGTGCCAAGATTACATTTTATACGGAAATTGGCACCCAATGCACATTCAACCCGAAATGATACCATTCTGTGTACGATTACGGTGTACTTTCGCGTGAGTGTGAAAGCGATAAGTAAATTGTACCTTTTATCTCTTACATTGTGATCTGGTAGCGAAGAAATGTATTTATTGCTGTTTATTTTCAACTTCGTATACAGAACTACTGCAAAGGCAAAAAAAAAAACAAAAATACTATTTAAATAATAGGTGCACATAATTTTGCATTCAAAACTTATTTAATAGTTTCACCCTTAGTATTCTTTGGACGAATAAACAGCATTGTAATGTCACTACAGCGATAAAACAAAAAAAATGTAGATATCGGTTAAACCTTTTCTTTTTTTTATATTAATATAATAAAAAGATTTATTATGTGGCCGTGTGGTATGTCCGCCGGGTTTTCAGGTGTTGCCTAATCAGAGGTCCCGGGTTAGAATCCCAGTGGGGCAAATGTTAGTATGATGAATACGAGAATTTGTGCCTAAGTCATTGATGTTTATAAATATTTATGTATATCTATATTGAGAAAGCAGTTTTGTCTATGCTAGAAAGTTCTAAATATAAAGTATTTTCTCTAAACTCTACACACACGGGTACTTATAAAACGATTTTAAAAAAATATATATTTCTGACTATTTTAGTTTATTTCTTCATTGATAGGTTGAGATTGTATTTTTCTCCAACTTCCTGGAATATCTATGGCAATTCTTAATGCACCTAATATTCTAGGTGAATTATTCTACTTAGGGTATAGGTACTTAAAGATCCTGTTAAACCCATAATTTAAATGTTGTAGGTATTTTAAGTCAAGAAATAGCTGGCCCAAAGTCATTATGAGCGTAGAGTATAAATATCCTTCCAAACAAAGGCATTCCTGCAAAGTTTCAGGAATAACGTAAGGTCTCTTCTAAGCCTTGATGACCCCAATGGCGGCAACTGAAGTCTTGTCGTGGGCGCGTACCAACAACTCATCAATTTCCTAAGGACAGGACACACGGCCCGGAATCTTGTTAATTAAACTATGCCGAAATAAACCCGACTTGTAAGACATCTCTGTGGCCTACGAGGGAAGTATTTGCATGAGCGCGACTAATGGGATACGCATATAAATTTTGGGCGATGCCACATACAAACTATTTATGAGTATCTGGACGGTATTCTTATTAGAAAATCAAGCCAATGCAGGTAGATACGTTTTTTACATTTAAACTAGAGACATTAAATATAAACCAGGCAAGTCCAATACCGTTAATAAAAATACCACGTAGCCTTTTTTATGTGATCGTGAAACGTTGTGAAATATAATTCCCAATATTTAAGTACAGTCATACATGATGCATAAAATTAATGATGCCGGCTTCGTAATAAATTTCAACGTATTTTCCAAATAACTTATTCCGTGTGCCCAATCACCGTGTAATTATCGCTTCATTTTTTAATTGTACATTTCTTTTAATATTCATATACATTTTAACAAAAGGGAGATAGGCGAGTATACAACATCAAAATTATAATTACATGTTTTGATTTTTAATTCACATTCACAAAGGTGCGACGTATTTATTATTATCATTATTATCAAATTGTTTATTACAGACAACAAAATGGTCCATCCAATCGTTAGTAACAATATTTAACTTAAATGCTATGTTAGTATATATTATTTTCTGGATTCAATCAATGTGTGTTTTTTAATATTATAATATAATATTGAAACTGTATTATAAATAATATAAAAAGTAATCTAAACCAAATGTCAAACAAAATGAATTTATGTAATTAATTAATATTCTACATTTAAAGTCATATAATTATTAGTATTGAATACACCTAAAACATTTACTTTTAATTGAAGACAAAGTTGACTTTTCATTATTGTATTCCATATTATAATAATATTCTTGAGAAAAGAAAATCATTGACTGCGGTAGCTGCAAAATTTGTTGCGCAAATGGTATGAATATCTACATATCAATAGTGTCGCTGGCAATACGTCTATATTCATCTATTTGCCTTATTTTAGTCAGCATTCATCTACATATTTGACTTCTTTAGGCATATAATATTTTCTTGCTTACGGCGTGTTAGTTTGTTCTTAATTTAGTTTGACTTTAGAATTTTATAGAAACTTATAAAACAATGATTAGATCCCCAGGCGGACATTTCGATTAATGCTGAAAACCGTTATGTCCTTCCTCTCTGAAATATCTGTCTTTTTCTCTCTTAGCTAGTTGAATCTGAATCTGCATCATCCTCACACGCGTGGGGATCAACAATCAACCCTGCCAAACTATATAAAGTACGAAATACAAAAACTATTAACTAATATTTTTTAGCAAGATTAAGGGCATCTCCAAAAGACACAATCAGCACTATTATTTTATTTTAAAGCAAATCACTGGTAAGCTTCTGCACCGAGAAAAGCGAAATATTCTTTCGCTCATCGATTTGATACTTATCTTTAAGTTATATCCTGTGTTGAGTGCAATAAAGTGTATTATTATGAAATTCCTCACTGTAGTATACGGTACAATACAGCGGATAAGGCGATAAGCGCTTGGTCATCTCGCAATTACCGGTCGAGCCAGCAACTACACGTAACCGGAGAGCGGTCAAACAGTCTTACTGCACATGAGTAAAGAAGGCACAGAGACAAAGCTTCATACAATAGACTATTTTTTTACAACTTTTTAAAGAGGCTTATACGTTATTTATTAGTAGTATACAGCGATTCCATTAAAAGTGGATATTTATAATTCTGTTGCGAATATCAGTTTGTTTTTAAATATGCCGCGGAAGCGTCTCTGTAGTAAGTATGGCGTCTTACAGGCAGGTGACGTCATTTTAAGCTCCATCAATCCTAGCCGTTGTAGGTCACGTGACAATAGATCAAAAATACTTTCCTACTTAACATGATTGTTAGTAATATTATTAACTACTTTCTCGACAGAATAGTGAAATCGCTCACAATATTCATATTTAATACACATGCTTATAATTGATATTTTATTGTTCATACTGTCCAATAGCCTATTGCGCGTGTGTGAAGAGCACTGGTGCCTGTCGCGTACGCAGATAAACTAGTGCTCACTCACGCGTACTGCACGCAGCCTAATCTCTACGCCTTCTTTACTCATATGGTCAAACTGCCTCACTCTTCACGATACATTCTCTGATACAATTACGAGTGTTTCTCTGCCATTAATCTTTACCTCAATCTATTATGTGGTGACTGGCCTCACCTAGATTTCATTGGATTGCTTTTGTCCGCACGAACGATACTGAGTAAGATTTACTTCACACATTAACTTTGATACTAACGAAAAGGTATTAAAGAATAACGCACGTTATATTGCCGCGTCGATAACTTAACACTCATATGGGTTATAAAGAGAGCACCATGACCTGTTTTTATAACTCGGGGTGTTTTATTAGAGGAGTTATTAAATTTTCTATGTAACAATAATTAAAGCACGATATTAGAGACTGTACTGAATTGGTGGCCTACGCAGTTGTAAAATTGCACGATCTTAGTAAAGATATGAATGTCTTCAACTAATTTATTGCACTTTCTATAATTCTAGTTTTATAAAAAAACATTTATAATGTAAGTTTACTAGCCATTTTGGAAGTTTGGTAGCTTTTGAATTATTACCAGTATTGCCATCCTCTTAACCAACTACTCAACTAGTACCCATAACAGTTTCATTTTCGGAGTAATAGATCCCACAAAACATTTTCATGTAAAATTTTGCCGAAACGAGACCATATGACTCGCACTGTCAAAAAGATATAAGATCTCATGTAAAGCCAAGCTTGTAACTCTACACGCCCTAACTCTTCAAGGCCTAACTTCACAAACTCAACACCTACACCTTAGTTAAAATATGTGGCTTGGCCGTTTCGTTACATTAAGTGGGCATAAGGTGAAAAAATTATTCACTCTTCATTACTTTTCTGTAATACAATAATAGCTCTTGTAGTAACAAATTTTATCGATAAATATTCTTAATTTATTCCACGCGGTTCTCTCGTGCTGCTAATGATAAATTTTGGCAGTACTCACCGATCAAACTGTGCCGGCTGGCTCCGAGGCTGGGCGCGGGCGGCGAGGCGGCTGCCCGCAGCGCGCCCAGCGCGCCGCCGCCGCCGCCGCCGCCCAGCGCTCCGCCCTCCAGCGCGCCTGGAATAACACATCATTTATAACAACACCAGCACAAGAAAACAGATCGTTTACACTACGAGTAAGAGAGGTCGCACATCAAAGTATACCTGTACCCCTAGCACGAACCAATATCGAATTCGTATCGTTTGCGAGTCCGAAATGTCATTGTCAAATGTGTACTGTACCCCTAGCATAAACCTCGTTTATAAGCTCGTTTATAAAAAAGCAGATAGCTCTGTGGCAGCGACATTTACATGCCCCACATATAATGAACATGGAGGAAATAGTCACTCGCCTCCTCAAGAGATGGCGCTACCGACGCCGCGTTCACAATGTATGGAAGCCTACATCGTGCAAGAGAAATTCGGAGCCTAACACCATATATACGATGCCCGACCAACATCTATTGGGCACTGCATCATCCTCTTTTCAGGGGTTGATCGCATCAGATAAAGCCTGTAAGGCCCCTAAGGCCATTGTATCCCCCACGGGTGTGTTTTAGTCAGTAAGAGTCTGACATAACCCTACAGCCGGCTGTTGGGTATCCACGAGGATTTCACACCCGCTCCCCCGCCTGGGAGGAAACAAAAATCAATTGGGCCGCGGCCCCCGAGCTACCATCACCCAGCTCGGAGGAAGGTCTTCCCCTTTGGCCTTCCCACAGCTCCAGAGCATGTAAGCTTAAAAGATCCGATACCGAATGAATGAAAACCGACATCCTCCGTGCTTCGGAAAGCACGATAAGCCGTTGGTCCCGGCTGGATCTGCAGCCGTTAGCATTCACCGATTCGCACTACTTAAGCCCGTGTGGTGCGTCATCTCTATTCCATCCCTATGATATATCACTTTATGGGACATTGATAGGCTGATGATAAAATACCAACATAGATCAGTTTTAAACACAAACCAAGTCTCTGCAACGAGACTTATGAATAAACACTTATACCAACTAGCCCTCAAAGGAAAAAAAAGACCATCATATTAACAAAATTTAGAGTAAATTCATAAACCTACTCTAGCAGTGATCCTTGAAACTATAGATTAGTATAAAATGAACGAAAATTTGTTAATAACAATAAGCAGTTAATATTATTTGATAATGTTAAATCGGATCGAGATTAAAATGAAAAATACTTACATTGTTAGCAAATATTAATACCAAGTGATCTGATAACTTTGAAACAAACGAATAAAACCTACACATGAATTTGAGTTTGTTTGACAAAAAAAGTTTTAGAACCCCCAAATAGGTTTATTTATTATTTATATTAAAAACTAATAAAGTTAGACACTGCAAAAACACTTATGTAAACTAATCTACCTGGTAACAAACCTGGTAGATATAAAAACGTAACATCAACACAAATCTATTTACCTTTTGGTACGTACATATGATACAATATAACATAAATTTCAATTTCCCATGCTCAAGATATAGTAAGTACATAGGTGGCTTCCCGAAATTTATGATGAATTCGGTTTGGTTTCGTTTACGTTTCGATTTGTAGAGTAGGGTCCCCTATGGCGCTCTTTATTGGAAGCCGAGAAGGGCTATCAATTTCCTGTCCTATTTTTGTCGTCGCCAAGCAATCTTTATGGCTAACTTTCCATCGTGATACAAAATCGGACACTAGGCAATGATAACATATATAAAAAGGACCGCTTATGCAGCTAAAGGTCTATTCCCTCTCGAACAGACATTTTATTAAATAAAGAAGGAAAACCCGGAGTCCTTTCGACATCCATGTTTTATTCAAAACTAGACTTCACTCGCGTCTGCTACCGTGTGCATTTTATAATTTAAAAAAATCCTTTGATATCCTTTAATGCTAATAATAATACTAGATAATCAGTCTGTACACTAATAAAAGTTTTTAATTCACTATTGAGGGACACAGGATACTTTTATAAAATGATAGATTTGATAATTTAATGTTTCGCTTTCATATTACGGCTCTTTTTATACGTACAGATTTTCTATAAGGGTTTTTAAGTGATCAGTGTGTAAATAGATTTGTGTCTTACTATACATATTTTCTAAAAGTAGGCATTTTACTACTATGTCATTATGCGATTTAGACCAACGTCGCCAGGGTGGAATCTAGCCAGGGGACCAGAGTCGACGTGTACCCCCAACATGGCGAAGGAGTGATCTTCCAGGCAGCGGAGTTGGCGACTACAAACATCCACCCAAACATACAGGCAGCTTGCATTCGCTTCTGAGGACTCTTCAAGCACATAGCCGGGATAACTTAGGCAACCTGTGTCAGCCAGCGGAAATATTTGTGTTTACGTCAGAAACAACAATGCTGGCTGTATTGTCTCGAGATAGTGGTGGACAGCGTTGAGGTTAGAGTGCAATTCGTGTATATTGCAGAACTCGACTTCTAACAGCGTGGAAGGCGTGGGGGTGTGCACCGCTGTTCATCCAAACTTTGTTCGAAATAATGTGCAATTAAAGTTCAATATAAAAATAGTAATAGTATAGAATAGTATATAAAATATAAATAGTAACCCAATATAGCAAAAGCAGACTCATCTCTGCTGGCAGAGAGCAGTGCAGTGGGAACAATCCCACTAACATGTCAGCATGATGGAGGAAAAAAATAGACGTGAACGAGTGGACGTTATCGTGACAGGACCGGGCTAATTAGGAAGGTTCGTTTCCCCGAGTGACTGCCTTAAGAGGAGATGCGCCGACCACCCGGACAGAAACACCCCCGTGATTGACCACCGGAACCCCACACCCCGGTCACAAACCGACACGACGGTCCACCCTGGGATCTCCTTGGCCAGCGGGTCCATGCAGATCTCCCTCTATCGGTTCGGCGGATGCCTCCCCTGGACCGAATCTCATTCAATACATCAATTTTCGCAGGTAGTTCACGGCAGGGCTGCACTTTAGTTTGAAATGGCGGGTGGAATAACGATGTTAAACTACATATTATACCTAAATCTCTATAAGATACCTATTCGCAAATTAAACTGTTATAGCAAAGGCTTTCTTGAATCTATCGTAATTTAAATTTTAATCAACGGCCAGTAGTCCGCAGCGGATATTACTGGCATCCTTTTCAAATACACTTACTATATTTACCAGTGAAATATTCTAGATACTATCCTCCAGCTCATATTTAATAGTGCACTCAACGGCTTTTCATATAAGATCTGTTTTTCATTGCCATAGGTAAAATCGTTGTTGTATATTGCCAGTGCTTAGACCGTATTAACTAGTTTCCTGTAACAGTTTTGGCCCGATGCCACAGGAAGTCAGAAGACAAAACTTTGTAGATCCTAATCGACCATATTGTAGTTGGTTTTTGTTAAACTCGTAGCCATAATAGCCTAATGCTAATGGTGTAAGTGCTGCCTTAAAAGGGAAGAAGAATAATATTCAATTATTTTGTGATGACTTCCAAAGTTGCGTGATAATACTAGCAGCTTTAGGAGCACTCCATTTTGCGCTGAAATCGAGAAGATTACAGTCTCTTTAAAAAGCAATCAAATTCCGAATATTTTCCTTGGCTCAGTTTTGTTCAAAGTTTATTAGCACCTTTGAAACTGTGGTAAATCTGGTTAAGTTAATAAAAAATTGGGTAAATATGCGTAAGTTCGCTTCACCGTGGACAATAACTATATGTTTTTCAAAAAGGGTGAACATAAAATCAATACTGCTTCTTCGGATAGCTGTCTATCAAAACATTTGAAGTGTAAGTTTTTTTTATATTTTACATAAACCTTTTGGTTTCATTTAAAGTGTTACTTGATTGCTTTATTACTAAATCGTTTAAAAAGTTTGCTGTCTTTACATAGCGCAGTCATATAAGGGTAAAACCCCAGTGAGGTCAGATATTGGCGTCCTATTATAATTGATATTTTATATATCTTAAGTCGATGGGTTTTCCTTACACAATTCATAACATGGCAATAAATCAAATCCAATTTAACAGTTCTTTATTCAAGTTGGAAGCTTATTACGACTTTATATTGTTTTAAACGACTGTTTTAAATCGTTAAATTTTTTAGATACAGTATTGTCGGCGCAGATTTTGGATACGCGGACATGAAACAAATTTTTCAAAACAATTTCAAGGAGGAAAATTCGTTGAACTGCTATGTCCTTACTAATTGTATAACTTGTTTTGCAGATTAATAATATTTGAATTGAATATATTTCTCATTAGTGCTTATAAATGACTTTTCACGACTTTGTGCTTTTCACACAAAGAACACACATTGACCCGTTCTGATGACTACGATAAACAACAGTTTCAGTTTAACACAACATTTAGGCAAAAGAGGTGTTACTATTTTTTTCAGATTACATGTCGTGCTGATTGCGAAATCGACTCGACATGACAATTTTTAATTCCAGAGAACCATTCATTCTTTGTATAAAGCATTTTCAAAAAATTCGTTCCATATGGAAGTTTAATTTCTGCTTCATTTTTATAAATTGTTACTGTTTTTAGATATCACGTTTCCAAATGTTGTTTATTAAACGAAACGTTTTTAATTATTCTCTGTCAAATTTTAAAGTTATAAAGCACCCAATTTGATATTGATTTGACACCAAGAACTTACTAACACGACGCTGTACATTTTTAGTGAATATCAAGTGTATTCTATGTGATATAATAGTTATGGGTTGGATAAAGGCGCATGTTACATACTCGTTACTCTAGCTTAACTCTATGCAGGGGTCATTAATTAAGAAAGCAAATAAAACAGTCACTGAATAAATAAACATTCGACTCCATTTGTACCGGTTTCTTTATCTGAGAATCCGAGCGACGACTCTCGCAAATATAATAATATATTTATATACCGCCTACACGCAGTACTTGCTACGTATCTAACTTTGCGGAAAAACCGCAGAGAGGGGAATTCATTTCACAACTTAGATACGGGACGGTGGATCGCACCAAATATTTATGGCTCAGTTAAAACAAAACTTGTGTATTAAAATAACTCTTCGCCATTGCATATTACGTGGTTATATTGCATTTATTTTCACGTAAAATAAATCAAATGTTTCTTAATAAGATGGTAAAAGAAAGGCTTTTAATAAGGCTGGAAGAGTTTCAAGGTTTTCATAAAGAATATTTACCAAATATTGTTATTAAATATTTTTTATTAAATACTACTAATGAAAGGAGCTAAGTATAAAAGGAGACAATCTTTTGGGTTCATACTAAAAAGGGTTACAATAGATCTCTATTACTAAGTGACTACTATCCTTCTGTCTGTCAGTGACCTTAAAATCACTTTATCTTTATAGAGAGTCAGAACCAAATAGAAAAGTCTAACCAATCAAACTTAAAAATATTAATAAAAATACCTAGTTGTCTCCTCTCCTCCTCCGAGGGCTCCGAGTTGATGATGGGCTTATAAATTATATACTCGTAGAATCGTGTTGTTTTTTTCATAATTCTCTAAACGTAAAAGTAATTTTTACATTAATCTCTCATTTTCATTATGTATAGAGAATGACAAGGATACACTGTCAAATTTAATTTTAGGTCTAGAGAATCATGCCAGAATCGACCCCACTAAGTACTTATAATGAAATTAAAAGGTCAATAAAAACTTTTTTGTTTTTAGATTATTTTTGGATATCAGTGTATTTTGAACTTTATTGTTAGGAGAAACTGTTGGGCACTTTCATTAGCTAAATTGTTATTGCTAATGAATTGTAGGGGGAGGGGAGGGTCAAGCCAAGCTCAAGTGCTTGTCGATTCAAATTCTGTGGCGCCTGTTAATTTTCTAAATTAAATTAAATCCAAGGCAATAATGGTCTGTTTGAGGTCGGTCAAATTGTCATAACATTTAATTGTTTCTACGAAACGCTTATTATAATAAAATACACAAACCTGTTATGGCATGTTTCGAGTATTGAACCTTTCGGTACCCCTAGCACGAACCATTATCGAATTTGAATAGTTTGCAAACCGAAATATCAATGTCAAATTTTGTATGGAAACGTGAACAGCAGCGGCACAAAGTACGTAACGAGATCTAAAAATCAGTACACATTTGACAATGACATTTCGGACTCGCAAACTATACGAATTCGATATTGCTTCGTGCTAAGGGTACAGCTTCTTAAATTTCATTAATTGTTAGATCTTATAATGTTGCTTTTATAATTTTGATTGAATAATTAATTTACACTACTGAAAGAGTGTAAATTAATTATTCCGCTATGCCCTTCCTGCATAGCAGAATTTCGTCTCGAATTGGAGTGTCCGTCTGGGTAAGTTACCTCCACTTTACAGAATATCACAGTAAAATAACACTACCTAATGGCGGTGTTGTGTTTCTGTTGGTGAATAAGGTTCCAGGGCTCCACTGTAGGCTATAGGGTGTTGGGTCAGGGTAGGTGAACGGT